TTTTGACAAAAAGTGGAAGAATATGGATGATTTACTGCTGAGTGAAGCAAGCTAGGCTATGAAGGAGAGACCTTGTATGCCCCCACTTAATATATACCGAGTGTCCACCCTCTATGACTGAAACTGACTACCTGAAGGATATACAACACAGAAAATGGGTGTAAATACCAGATACAGTGTGTGTGGAAGAGTAGGGCCTGAGGAAGGACATTTAGAAGAAAAATATGAAGGCAAAGCATTAATGGGACAAAGAAACGTACTATTGTCTTTTGAAGATATCTTATAGTTTAACCAACTGGACTAGGGAGAAATGTTCACATACTGAAATACTCACTTTGTAAGCTAAATAATGTGATTGAATGTATAAAAGAAAACAAAATAAATGAAAAAATAAGTTAATAAGTAATAAGAACAATTTTCCTTTTGTCCTTCACTAAAAGACCTTATTACTTGGGAGGAAAAACTAAATCTTTGGATGATCTTCTAGTAAATATCTCTGCAAACAATTTTGAATGATATCTTATTTTTGTCTTGGCAAAACCTGTGGTATGCTTTTTGACTGAATGTTTGATGAATGGAGATGTGAATGGATAAATGGAGAAGTGGATAGAAAAATAATTTTGAATATTTCAAATGCTGCAAAATTACTGTCTTATTTTGTGAACTGAGTGTTGCTCCTTATAACTATAAGTAAAATATGAAGTAATCAGAAGGATTTGAAAATGAAATAAATAAAAAGGCTTTTTTTCTTTGATGATCAAAAGAACTATAGTATGTTTAAGTTCTGACTGTAAAAGTAAAACTTTGCATGCACTTTCTCCCTTATCATTTCCAAGTAATCAAGAATGCAAAAAAAAACCTTTGTTTTTTTTACAAATAATAAGCATTGCTACAAAAAATATTTATGATCTCACAGCTTTTTAGGAACTCATCCCCTCATTAGCTTCCAATGCCTTCTTCCTCAGAGAGAAAACCCTGTGGAGTTCTACATGCCCGGGTTCTTATCATTGACATGACAAGCATCAAATTTCTTAAATCAATTTCCTACCCAGCCCACCAGAGAGTATATTATAGAAGATTCTCTCCAAAACAAATGAATTTTTTTTTAAGTTTAAATTGGACTTTGTCTACAAAGGGGAGGGGACTCAGTCCTTGTTGGCATCTGCTTCGCGCATGGAGGCCAGGACTTTGCTCATTCCTTGCACTTCCTCTTAGCATGGATGTGTGCCCCGACCCTCTTTTTTTTTTTAATTACTTTTAATTTTATACATTTAATTCCTACACATCACTTTGCTTGTAATTTGAATTTATCCAGTGTGAATATACTTCACACCAGTCAAGTTGAGGATACAAAATATATTCTCATCAACAGATAATAACCCACTTCAGTGTCCCATAAATGTCCTGCCTTCTCTATTTTCCTCCTTAATTTCTTTCCTTAAACTCACCTCTTCTTGATGAACTTGAGGGCTTGCTTCTCCTTGGCGACCTTGAGCAGCTCCATGGCACACTGCTTGTAGGGGGCAAAGCCACACACCTCCAGGATCATGCCACACACAAACCTGGTGTGCTTGGTGAGGTGCCCGCAGCGGTGTCTGTGCTCCAGCTTGCTTGCGTTCTGGGTCACTTTGTGGCCCATGTTGAGGACCATGGCCATGAGGTAGCACAGAGTCATGGTTGAGGTTCTCCGATAGCTACTGATAGAGAAAAAAACAAATGGATTTATTTCTGAAACAGGATTAGATTAAATGTCTTCTGCTACAACCTACTAAAATAGAAAATATTAAAGGAACTTTATATATCTGGATTTTTGCCATAAGGCACATGTGTACTCACCAGAAAGAGAGAAAGAGAGAGACACAGAGAGGTGGAAAAATGAGAAATCACCCCCTGGGGAGATGGCCACACCACAATCCCTTCTCCTCCATTCTCCTCTTTGGATTTTGGGCACACACACACATGCACCCCGTGTGTTTTTCAAACCACCAGGTCAGAACTCAAACTGGGGAGATGCTTATGTGGGACATAGCACTTAAACCACCATGCCACCTGCTGGGCCAAGGACCTTTATATTTCTCAGGACTGCTTCTAGAGTAATAGCTTAAATGTCCTAACACCCTTGATTTTGTTATTCCCCAAACCCATACCCCTGAAAAATTATCCAGGATTATTAGTCCTTAAGCAGGCTAAGTTCCTAAGAATTTGATTATAATAAACACACATACACAAACCTGTTAGAAAATATCCTTTATTACCCAACCCCTGAGACAAGTTGGTAAATATTAAAGAGGTATGAGAATTGTTTTGAAATTGTGGCAGAACATTAAATTACCATTCATTTATTCATTTGATTTTTGCCAGACATGGGGGCAGAGGGTACATAAAGGAATATACCAAAAATATTTGCCACCATATACCTTCCTTTCTTACTGCCGTATAGATAGATGAATGGAGGGATGGATGGATGGATAAATGGATAGATATAGACAAATAGATGATAAACAGATATAGATAGATAAATGATAGATAAATAGATTGATAAATATAGATAGATAAAGCTATTGTACTCTACGATGGTTGATACATTGGAGAGAAATAGGGTATGAAAAATGGTTGCAAGTTGGAAGAAATCCAGTTTAATCATGCCGTAAACCTGTGCCATTAAAGAGGAATCTGATATGCATGGTAATCATGCTGGAAAAAGAAATGTTATACATTGTAAAGATATATGTGATTAAATGTAATATTTTTAAAAAGGAAATTAAAAAAAGAGGAGTCTGAAAAAGATGAGAGAGCCTGACACACAGATACTTAGAGGAGGAATGTCGGCAAAGAAGCAACAGTGAGCCAAAGGCCCGATCCAACCTGGCATCTTCATGTATTCGGAGAGTGAGTGAAAGGAAGAGTGCTACAAATTGAAGTCAGAAAACTAGTGGGTGAGTCTCATCAGCTACCATGACAAATTTGGCAATTGACCTGAAAAAAAAGACTAACCACTGGAGAATTTTGAGTAAAAGAGTGACATAATTCTACTTACATTTTAAGAGGAGCTTTTGTAACTAGATGAGAACAGGGAATGGAAGGAAATGGAAAGTCCAGATGGTGCATTAAGATAGTCAAGTGATGGCAGTGACATGATCCAGGGTGGTGGCAAAAGCGGTGAAATTCTGAACATATATGAAAGATAAGGCATAAGATATTTGATAGACAGGATATGCCAACTGACAGAAAGAGAGACATAAAGTTGGTTTCCTAGGTTTAGTGTCTAAATGGTGGAGTTGCTGATTTCTGAGTTTGGAAAGTCTGGGGTGATAAGTAGCCTTCAGAATTGAAAAAAATGATCATGAATTGGATTACAGATATACTGATTTTGAGATTTCTAAATATATTAACTTTGAGTTCAAAGTGACATTATTTATTTTGCAAACAATATTATCACTTTAATAAATCATATTTTCTACTTTGTTTTATTCTAGATTATTTTCCTGGTCTCAGTAACTCATTAGAAATCATTGATAAAGGTTAGGAAAGTTTATATGCAAAATATTTCAATAACACAGAACATGGTTTTTAAATATATTTAGAGTAATTATATCTCTTTTATGACACTTCTCTCATTTTGACATCCAGTTTCTTCTCATCAGTGTTTGTTCTCCCCTCTTTGTCTAAGACCAAGAAACCCTTAACGTTCCTGAGATCGACTAAGCTTTAGGCTGGTTTCTTTGTTGGTTTCTTTCCTGACTCATGGTCCCTGACCTAGCTTTTATTAGAGCATTTCTTTTAAAAATTACCATTGTAAATTCTTTCTCTGTCCCTTTGAGCCTTTCTGATATAAATCTTCTGCCAGCTTTTTACCATTTTTACAATCCAGGAATGACTTTCTCATATACCTAAGGGTGATCTCTTTAAAATGTGATCATTGAGAAAGAATCTCAGACTCCACTTTCTATGAGATGCTGAAGCCCAAGTTGGTAAGCAACAATAAGCAAACACAAATGGCTTCCACTTTAATTAAACTTTCCCAAAAATCTTCTAATATTTTCTTGTTCTTATCATACTTTATTGAAAAAAAATTGTACATATTTATAGGATATGCTATAATAGTCTGATACATGTATACAATGTGCAATGGTAAAACAGGGTAATTATCATTTCCATTACCTCAAACATTTATCATTTCTTTGCATTAAGAACTTTTTTTTTATTATCATCATAATCTTCTTTATATTACATTGGATTACATATAACTTTACATTGACTTCCATTGCTTTTTCAAAAGGGAATGCCATGCATGTCAGTCAATACAGAGGCATCGATCTCCCTGCTTTATCAAAGTCTTTTCCATGCATTTCCCAATAATTATTATTATTATAATTTTTTAAAACAATCACTATTTCTCATTTTGCTTGTTAAAAGACTTCACCCATCATGAAATACTTCCCAGACCAGTCCAGTTGAGAATACTATACACGTCATCTTCAACAGATAATAAACCATATCTGTTTCTCACTAACATCCTCTCTATTGTTCACTTGCTATCTTTCTCTATCCTCTTCTCTCTTCTTTTTTTTTATAGTTTATTTTTTATCATAATTTTTTTTCCATCGCAACACACAAATGAATTTTCCATCCAAGATATACTGTGCATTAGCTCAATCAAGCACGTCAACATATATGTTCTCAGCAAATAATTTCCCAATTCTTGTGTCCTGCATACCTTGCCTTTTGTTTTACCATCCTAGATTCCCCATCCCCCTCCCTCTGTTATGACCCATCCTCCTCCCACATTGTCCCTGTCATCCCCGATTGCCCTCCGTGCCTCCCCCCTCCCCAAATGATCTGTCAGTGAACTTAATTAGTCTAAGTCTCTCCAATAGTTATCACAGCTGACACATGCCTATACATGAACTCAAGTCTGACTTTAGGCCTAAACCCCATTGGGTAAAAAGAGCATACTATAAAGTAGAACCCAACTGGGCCCATACCGCTCACTGCAGCCATCAAATATCCATTTTTTTTTTTAAATGGTACGAATAGTTTTACC